TTTTTGGTTATTCTCAAAACTTTGACTTGAAGATACTCAACAATATGACCTTCATTATCTGAATACATAATAGGTCTTCGAAAATTTGATTGATAATCATCTTGCCACCAAGTATTGAAATTTTGTTTTTTATAATCTAGACATTCAGTAATATGATGATTATCTTGTTTACAATAAAGACAAAGTTTTAACATCTTGTTAATTACTAACAAAAAAATTTAATCGGTTTTAAAACTAATTAAATATATCTTATTTTTATAAATTAATTTTACATGTTTACATATTAATATCAAATAATATTATCTAAAATTATATAATATTTTGGCTTCCAGAGCTAGCCAGGCTCTCGTTGGTTACCAGCAAAGCTGGTAATGTCTCTAAACCTGATTGCTTACTGTGCTGTGGCTAATTAAGTTAATTATTTAAACCTTGTTTATTTCATATTCTGATTTGGGTCCCTCACTTGATACAATGTTGTTGAATCGCCTCTCAAATCGTTATATGAAATAAATCTTTATTTTTTAAAATAATCTACTATAGTTCTTTTTTTTTTGTTTACATTTAAAGATTCAGGTATAATTAATTCTACAAATGGTTTTTGTGATCCTAAATATGCTAATTTATCTGCTTGTTCATTACCTTCAATTCCATGATGACCTCTAACATATTTAAAAACTACTTTTCCTTTTCGTTCTTTAATCAGATTATTCAATCTAATAACTAAATCAAGATTCTTTTTAGGATTCTTTACTCCTTGACAATTGATTACATATATACTATCTGTATATATCACTAAACATTTATCATTTTCTATACAAGTTTCAATAGCACGAATTACTGCAAAAATTTCTGCTCGATTATTTGTTTGTAAATATCCTGGTAATCTTTCACTTAAATTCAATGGATTTCTTTCTGACCAATAAACTCCAATACCTGCTCTAGCATCTTTTTTACCATTATTTTCACAACATCCATCAGTCCAAACAAATATATTTTCTTTTTCAATCATATTGTTTACATAATCTTCTGCTTGCTGCTTTATTTCAAATGATTTAAATAAAGCACCAGGAAACCTATGAATTTGTTCTTTACATTCTTCTCAGGAATAATATATTCCTGGTTTACATCTTGCATGAATAGCATAATATCTAATTTTAGAAACTTTAGGCATCTGGATTTATAACATAAATAATTCAAGTAAATGAATCACAATTATGAATACCAGTCACAAGTAGCCACATACCAGTGAAGTTGCCATTTAGAACAGTAAAAGTTAGTATAAATTTTAGAAAATAAATAACTAAATTAGATATACAGATTGCGAATCTCTCTTACCTTTAATATAGACTTTGATGAATTTAAATTCTGTCTAGTTTTCTTTTGAAACTTGATAGAGATGAAGGTGAAACTAGGTCTTTATATAATCATTTAGAGATAAGCCACAATTTCGAAAGCTATAAAAGATTGATAAAAATATCTGATACGTAAAGAAAAATGCTAAACATAAAATTCACACAGTATCAGAAATTTGATAACAATAAAGATATTAAGATACTAGACTATGCTGAGATTATAAAATTCTATAACAAATTTGAGAAATCTACTCTATTCAAAAAATGAATTATGGATCATGAATTTGATCTTGAAAAATTGATAAAATATATAGATTCTAAATTTAAAAATCATACTCTTGATAATTCATCTTTAATCTATAATTTGAATATTGAAATTGTAGAAATAGTTAATATGTTGGTATTAACTGAAACTGTTAAATTTAAATTTAATATTTATGTTATAGAACATATATTTTATTAAATTTTTTCAAAATAAACTATACAATTACTGCAAAGAGGATGTCTTCCAAAATTTCTTCCACTAATAACATATATATCTATACAATAAGTTAAATTCTTGCAAATTTTACAAAAACGTTTTCTATAATTATTAAATTTATCTGCTCTGATAAATCTATAATCTCTTTGAAATCCTTTCAAATAAAATTCTTCAGCAGAATTTGTTCGAAGCATTATACGTTTTTGTGTTTGTTCTGCATTGAAAGTTACATATATTTTGTCACTTCTATCAGGTTTTAACTTGTAATTATATATTGTTGGAGGTGTAAAACTATCAATATCATACTTTTCGATAAGATAGTATTTTATCGATCGAGTTTTGAAAATTGATTTATATGCTCTATACCAATCACAACAAACTAACTTACAATTATTATATTTTACATCTAATAATGTTATTCTCAAAGGAAGATACAATGATAATATTAAATATGTGATATCATATACTAATCTTGGTATCTTTTTATTTTTTTTAATCCTTTTTTTTCGTGGTTGTTTATTTCTTTTTTTTCTTTGTTCATTTAACAAACGAGGTTTTCCTGAATATTTTCCTATAATTATATAATTAAATTCTTGTTTGGTGTAATAGTACACTAAACAAGTTATGATACTCTAAATATATTACTATTTCGAAGAATTATAAGAATATCTTTTTTACATGAATTAAAACACTCTAAACAAAGCACATGATGATGAATAAACATTCCAATATTGTTAAATATGAACATTGGATTTCTCACATTATTCATCTGACATGTTGTGATTCCACAGCAATTGTTATTTATCATCGAATTTGCATTACAAAACTTTAATTCTCTACATTTATCACAAATTCGTTTTCCAATATTATCTATATCTGTCACATGTGCTAAATTTATTCTATTGGATCCAAAATTATATTCATTTATAGGTAAACAATATTGAATTCCTGTTCTATCATAATATATTCGCTTTCGTATAATCTTTGGCTTATTACACGTGATTTTGTTTATCTTACAGAATTTACATTCTTGTGTTATATCACAATAAAATCGACATCATCTACATTCTTTACATCTAGCATATTTTCCATCAAATACTACTACTTTCTTCTTTCCAACTCCTTCTAACCTTATGAATTTTATTCGTAATAGATTAAATATGTTTAACATATTGTTTACATATCCATTATAGTATTGTGGATTAGATATTACTCTCTGTTGATATATATTCTATAAGATTTTTTTTACTCTACCTAATTTATATTGATTTTTTTGATCTGGTAAATCTTCAAATATTTTGATGATTAATTCTAATGATAATGATAGTATGTTTTTCATTTTTAATTATTAAATATTTAATTTCTTTGTTGGTTATATTTATAACTAACAAAGGTACACAAAGATTTTATTTTTTACAGATAAATCTTAAACTCTTATGAAATCTTTCTTCATCTACTTTTAAAAATGATCTTTCACTTAAAGTTATCCACATCGTCTTATCATGAATTGCTCGAATAGTTTTTTTAAAACCAAGCTTTCCAGATCTTTCAAAGAATTTAAAAATTAATTCCTTTTTTTATAAAATCTAAAACATATTCCTAAATTATACAAAATGATCAGATAACTTCGTTTTATTTGATTTTTCTTTATATGTTTAGGATATATTTTCTTTATAATAGAATGAAGACTTTTTTGTTAAGAATATAACTTTTTCTGCTGATATCCTGTTCAAGAATCATAAATTTTCTAAAATCATTTCTTGAATAATTACAATATTTTATAAATGATCTGTATCTAATATGTTTTGTTTGTAAAAATATTTTTAATCTTTCTTTAATATCATAAGTATAGCCCTCTTTCCATTCCTCATCCAAATAAATATCGAATGCTTGATCAAATATTCTTTCCATCTTTATGAATAATATAATTCTTTGCTGGTTATATTTATAACTAACAAATTCTTTAAGGTTTTTTAAAGAAAAAAAGTAAATTTTCTTTAATTTGTTTATATGGTATTACTTCGAGTTTTTTAAATTTTTTGTTAATCGTGTTTGGATATTTGATCTTGAAACATGATTCACAAATTTCATGTGAATGAAAATAATACTTTGGCCATGTACAAGTTCTACATATATCATAATTTTTAGAGGTATCAAATTTCTCACATCTTATATAAAATCCAAAATTTTGTTTACAAATCTTACAATTCATAGTCTCGAAATAGTTCACACAATATTCAAATTTTTGGCAATAAGCACAATTTTTTTTAAATAATTTATCTAATTTATCAAGATCGTATCTGTAAATAAATCCAATTCCTGATAAACTTCTACAACATAGAACTCTTTCACTGTCTCGTTGAATCTTTCTTCTTTCTCCATCTTCAAATATAATAAAATTTTTCTTTACATTTTTTACTATATAAGTAGTAATTTTTAAAAATTCAAGATATCCAAAAAATCTATTCTTGTCTGGATTAACTAAATAGTCACCATGCTTTAAAGATACAAATCGAAATTTTTTACATATTTGAGTAATTCTTGTTTGTTCTTTTGGTGTTAAATAAGAAAAGATTTCAAATAATGCATCAAGATTTAATATGTCCTTCTTTACAGAATTAAATTGATGAGTGGTAAATAATAATATTTACTACTCATTGATGAAACTACTATATGAATATTTTACAAAATAAATTTTATATTTTTCACAAATATGATGATTATGAAATGTGTATGAAGTATTTTTATATATAAAACTCAATGTCAACATACAATCTAAGACTCCACAGTAATTTGTTCATGACCAAAACAGAATTGATAATCAAGACAATACGTAAATTTTCTACATCTCTTACAAACACTTTTTCCATAATTTTTTAACTTGTCTCTAAGAATCAACTTGAAATATCTGTTGTTACAATATCCTTGTCTGTTTAATCGATATTTTTTTTTAATATTTTTACATAAATAAATCACTATGTAAATATTTTTTTCTTCATATTCCATTCTAAACTGATAAGATATTGGTGGTGCTAATGTAAATTTATCATATTTTTTTATCAAAACATATTTTGTTCCTCTTCTTTTAAAGTAGTAATGATAGATATCATGCCATTTTTTATAAACTAACTTACAGTTATTATAACTTACATTATATATAGTTATCTTTTCAGGTAAATATATCGATATTATATTATATAATAATTCTTTAGGTAAAATATTATTTATAGATTTCTTTGAATCCATTTAAACAATTAAAATTAAAAGTGGTAAATAAATATTTACTACTTTTTCCGTCGCTTTGATATATTTACAATTTCATCATCATTATCTTTCTTTCTTTTATCATTACTATTTGGAAAAAAATTTTCTATTCTAGCTTGTTTTAATTCTATCAAAGATGAGTCATGTTGTTTTTTTAGTCACTTTACAGTTAAGATATTATATCCACTTTCAGATTTCTTTCTCTTACAACCTATTAATCTCTCATTATTATGTTCTCTATCAATTTCTTCTATTAATTCTTTTACTTTTTTCTCATCTGTTCACATTAAACCAGCACCTATATCTATTAAACTATTAAAATAGTAAGCTATATCTAACTTATGCTTTTTAGGATCAAAATATGAATATTTTATCATCTTTTTTGATATGTTCCATTTTGAATCATCTCGATATTTTAACACGTAATAAAATACTCGTCCATACTGTATTTTTATTCCTCTAGAATTCATGTTTTCTGCAAAATCTATCATCATCTTATTTCTTTTTTTTGAAAATACAGGTTTTTTGTTCTTTAATTCTATTTCATTTTCTTCTTTTAATATAGGTTTCTCTTTTAAATAATCTTTTATAGTTGTTCTTTTATCTGAAGGATTATATTTTCCAGTAAGTTTGAATATTTCTATATCATGATTTCTTACTCCTTTAATATTTTCTGTTATAATATCTGTTACTACCTATTTAGAGATAATATTCTGTTCAGATATTTGGTTGTTGATAAACTCTAATGAACTCCAAATCATCTCTTCTGTGATTATCTTATAAAATGCTGATATATTTCTTTTTACTATCTTCAAGCCTTTAAGAAATAATTTTGGATCATCAAGATCCAGTTTATGTTCATATACACAACCACAATATTGCTTCTTATATAAAAACAATAATGGATGTAATGTTTTTTCATATGCCATTTTCATATATGAAAGTTCTGTAATTTCTTTCAAATTTTTATTTACTTTTTTTTCTAACTCGTAAGAATATTCTATTGTTTTTGCTATCTTTTTTGACCAATATGATTTTTTATCTTTGGTTTCTAAATATTCTTTGTCGAATTCTGAGAAATTTTCTTCTGGTATTGTATAAAATACAGAGTCTGTATCTCCATAAATCACTTTACAACTGATTGATTCAAGATATAAAATTACTTTTTTCAATAATTTTTTAGCATATGTAGTTACTGATAATGCTACTAATTTTTCATATAAAGGAGAATGAACATATCCAGTTTCTCTATATATTGCATTTGCTAATACTTTTAACGTATTAGATTTTGATATATAATATGCTAACAATCTTGAATCATTTTTATGTTCTTTCATCTTTTTCTTTGTTTCAGTTCTATCTTTTAATAATCTCAAACTCATAAGTAGCATCAATCCTATTTCCTCTTCTTTATCATAATGTTGTTTAAACTTTGCTACTATAGTATCATTATCATATATTATATTTAAATCAGGATCAGTTAAATCAATATCTACTAATGTTTCTTTAGATATATTCATTGTTATCATCATATGTAGATACATCGATGCAAAATCCAAATCAGCAACTGGATCTGCTAAAATTAATTGCTCATTTATGAATCTTTTATTTTTTTTTGGAGGTAAAACTAAACCTCCTGAATATTTTTGTCCTGTTATAACTTCTCCTTTTTGTATCATTGATATTAACATATCTCTATTTGCTACATTTCTTCCATAGAAATTTCTCACTAAACAACCTACACCATTTATGAATACATTTGATATTGTAGTATATGTCAAACTTGCTAATTGAACATAATCTTAAAAAATATTACGTTTCAATAATAATTCTTGACATCTTATTGAATCAACAGAACAATAATACACTATCTTAATAGCATATTCTTTCAAAGTTAATTCATCTACAGTTAATACTCTTAAACATTCTTCATAAGGTATATGTACTGAATCTGATAGTTGTTTTGATATTTCTTGCAAGTACTCGATATTGTCTTTAAATTTTATCGCATTAATATACACATACATTAATCTTATATCATTATCTTTTGGTATATAATGTAAATCTATCTTTCCTCCAAGTCCACAACGTTTTAATACTACATCTAATGTATTTGTTATTTCTGTCTGAAAAGTTCTTTTTGCCCATTTTAACAGATCAAAAAATAAGATACCAGGTTTGTTTACATATATACAATTCATTTTCTCTATAGGATTTGTTTTGATATCTCTACTTCGAACACTAGGGTTAATAATACTCATTCCTGAAAATTCATATCATCTCATCCTTTCTTCTAAATCTGTATCTACAACTCTGATATCTTTCTCCATGATATGATAGAATAAATCTTTATCTTGGATCTCTTGTTGTAAAATGATAGATACGAATTCGTTTATAATATTATATATTAATAATTTTTTTAATATAAAATTCCAATCATAACCTCCTGTATTATACCCTATCTCGATATCAGGATCATATTTACTGAACAACTCTGCAAATCCTATCAATAATTTTTTTTCTGTAGCAAATTCTAGAAACTCGATATCATCTGAATATTTTTTTGAAATAAAGATTTATCTATTAGTATAGTTGTCAGACAGTAACGTTTCAAAGGTTTACTTGAATATATCCAATAGAGATCAACTTGGATCATATATAAATATGATGTCAAATTTTTTCCTAAAGGAAAGAATCCTAGTCCTATTGTCTCTGAAGTTTTAATATCCCATAATAACAATAATATCTTTGGTATTTCTGTATAATCATCTCGTCTCTTCAGATCTTTGAATTCAATTTTATCATCTAAAAATTCTTTTTCAGAATTTAACTCATACCATTCAACTAACTCAAAATTGTTCTCACGTGCTACTTTTCTATAATAACATATTAGATCATCAGAATATGTATCATATCATTTCCAATATTCTTTTAATCATTCATTTACAAGATTTTCTCTTTTTTTTAATACTTTTTTGTCTATTTTTTCATTTAATTTCACAGGTTTTTTGTCTTCATCTAATGTCATTCCTCTTTGGTTTAATGTTATCTCTTCTAATTCTTTGTATAAATCATCTTTTATCTTTATCATTAAATCAAGTGCTTTCTTTCTGTCTTTGTGATTCTGATAATATAATCGTAAAAAATCATATTGTTCTTCTAAATCAAATAGTTGTTTGGTTATTTTTTCATAATTTTCTAGATTAAATTCTTCAACATAACTTTTAATTAAGTTTGGATCAGATAGCTTGATATCAAAAAATATATCTAGAACTGATATATAAATTGTACTTTTTGTTCCATCTAGTTTTACAATAAATAATCGTAAAACATAATTATTCTTTCGATCTGTTGAATCTATTGAATCATATACAGAGAACAGATTTGATTCAATTTCATCAATCAATTCTTGTCATTTAGACATTTTTACATAATTAAAAATCTAGTTGGTCTTTTGACTAACTAGATCATTCAACAAAAATTGTTTGCTTTACAAATCCAATAGTTTTTGAATAAATTGAATTATAACATTTTCTACATATTTTATGGTAATGAGACTCCTTTTTTTCACATATATCACATCGATAATTATATAAATATAATCCTTTAGATAAAAAAGTATAATAATCTAAATAATTACAAGAATCGCAATAATCCATATGTAATTCTTTTACTCTAATAAGATCACATTTGTAAATATAAATATTTAAATTAACTCCTTTACAATAATAATTCCCATCTTTGTCTCTCATCAATTCTCTTTTTTCTGCTCTATTTTCAAGATTTATCCATACATGTTTTTTATCTTTAGTAAGTTTAAATCTGTAAATTAATACTTTCCATGCATAAACAAACTCATAAAATTCATGTTTTTCTTCATTAATATCATGAGATAAATATACTGCATTTATTATTCTGTTTGTTCTTCTTATTTTTGCTTGTTCTATTGGGGTCAAATATAAAAAAATCAGATACCAAGCATCATAATAAAGATTGCTCATGATTGAATAGTTAAAAAATTGCTTGGTAATAATTACTAAGCAATTATAGATATTTTATTAACTAAAAATAAATAAAATTAAAAATAAGTTTATACAATTTTAATATCCTGTAAAATTTTCTTTTGATGTTCAGAATCTCTATATAGTCGCATAGCTTCACGATTAACAATACAATTAAAATTATCAGATTCTTCATATTTTTTTAACTCATCATCAGTGTTGTAATATTCAAGTACAGATGAATAACCTAAAATAGTATCATGAACTTCTTCTTTGATTAATATAAAATCTTTTTTATTCTCTATATTAGGATTTTTCATATTTGTTTGATGATAAATCTCATCTTTTATCTCTAATTCGTATTGAGGTTTCAAATCATTAATCACAGACCACCAGTTAATATCAAATCTATATTTCTCAGGATTTGATCTTATAAAATCAAAAACTGTTTTAATAATTATATTATTATCAATACTTCCATCATAGAAACAATCTTGTAACTGATCATATAACTCTGATTCTATTTTTTCAAAATCATCGGAAGAATAATCATTAGAAGATAAATCACTTGAAGATTCAGGTAAAGACATTTTTACATGATTAACTTTCTGTTCGATAAAAAATACTGAACAGATATATACAAAAAATATAAAATATTGCTATAAAATAAGTTTTTCAAATATTAAATTATACTCTCTGAAACAGCAATTAGCTGGTTTATGATATTCTTTGTTAGAGCAATCATTCTCGAACTTGATATGTTCAGGATACATTTTCATGATTCTAGAATTATATTCTTAAAACAACTTTGTTAAATATTCTTAATCTGTAGTTTTTCCTGGTCGATTTCTTATTTCTTGCCGTTTTAACATATTTTCAATTCTTGGTTTGATATAAATAACCTTGTAAATATTTTTAAGATCGAAGGTCTGGCGATCTTAGTGTAGTGGTTAGGTTGCCAGACCGCCATGCAAGAGGTCTAGGGTTCAAATCCCACTGTCGACGAATTTGAATAATTACCCGGACCTTTGTATCCAACTTACGGTAAACCCTGTCCGT